ATATCAAAAACAAAATATTCAGAAGGTCGAGTTATCTGTCTTAATCTCTTGTCTATTGGAGTCTGTGTCTTTGTCGAGAAACGCAGCCACCATAGAGTGCCTACCGGATAAAAGATCAGGAATAAATAAAGTGTATCGTGACATTTTTGTAAAAGAAGTCTGCTTCTTCAAGTTTTCGATATGGTATGGTTTGCGTACCCGCGAGATTATATCGATAATTAATCAATGACTAATCGATGACTGAAAATTTTGACCTATTGATTATTCACCAATTACTCATTGAATATCGGATATAATCAATGACTAATCAACCGATTACCCATCGATTACCTTCGCAATTGGAAGCGGAATATTGAATATTGAGTTTAGATTAGTTTCAATATTTGAAAATTTAGTTTGAATATGAATAAATGTACTTGAATAATGAACCTTTATTTGTCCAGAAAATTCACTTATTCCTTCTAATTAATGTATGAAGATCAAGTGAAATATGCTCAAATAACGTGAGATAATCATGAATGCAGAAACACGCTGCTTTCTATTGGATTGTATATATAATTTACACTGATGAAGCACTGTTTTGTCATGTTTTGACACTGTTTATATTTTGTTTTTATGTGTCCTCTCACTTTGAAAATCAGTTGGGGATTAGCGCTATCAGACTGGGCCAATGTTTGTAACCAGGTCCAGGGGCGTAGCCAGCAATTTGGCATACTGGGTTCCTAAGATGGTATTGTTGTGAGAGGCATTGGGTGAGGGTGCATGTCCTCATATGGCGATTTCTTGATTCTGGTCACAAATTTCTAATAATGTCAGTGTCAAATGTACCTAGAATTTCTGAGAGAGGCTGCAAATCACGCTTCCTATAGAGATGGTTAAAAGTGCACCAGTCAGTAGTTGTTGAATAAATAACATACTTCAAAGACTGTGGTCTTGTAATGGACTGTTCACTCAGCTGGCATATCAGCAAGAAGGTGGCGCCTTGTATGCTTCCGTGCAAAAATGCCGATTGTTGAACTAACGGCAAGAGCCTACTGTAACGGATGTTTATCAGAGTAGCCTGCATGACAGGCGCTTTATGAGCTCAGCGAGGTTGAACGGGGCTTGTCCGTAAAGCGCTAAACGAGCGCAGAGGGTGATACGAGGGGAGGTCAAAGAATAAAGCAAGTCCAAACAATCGCTCGCTGGGCATGGCAACTTTTGAGTGTGTTTTCAGTCGGGTCAAGCAAATTCATACCTCCACCGTGGTACAGTGGGGGGGGGGGGAGTGGATGGAATCCCTTCCCGGAGTTTTCGATATGTTGCAGTATTTTGAAACGATTTTACCTTTAGTGGAAAGCCTTTCATCTTCTTAACAAGATGAGGTATATTGTATGAGTAGTGGCACTGCGGGAGGCCTGTGACGTCACCAACAATGGTCGCCATCTTGCATTTTACCAACAATTGGAAATCAGGTTAAAACCGCGAAAAATGGTAATTTTTTGTGCTTTACATGAAAAATAACACATAAATAAACACTTTGCGTGATTTTAGCCACAAGATTTACTTTTATTGTTGAAAGAAGTTGAAAAAACATGTAACTTCAGCCAAAATTGGCTTGACCACCTGCTACTTATGACGTCATATCTCGTAACCATAGCAACTGACCATCACTAAACTCGTCTCAAAATCTGCGCGAAGGATGAACGAACAGCCACTGAAAACGTCATATGCTGATGTTTTATCCTCTAGGAAAAAACTCAGAAAAACCTTATGGGAGGGGGGGGGGTGGCATCCACCCCGCCTTGTACGACCGAGGGTTAAATACCAAATACCACACGTAATGGGCTGTTCACCTTGCTATTGCCATCTGTGTCCCAGTTCCAGGTAATTTCCTCCAACTGGTTTTCAGACAGCCGCTTACTTGACAACGCTTCTACTGCTCTCAGTTTTGTTGGTAGAGTTTTCAATAGAATTTTGTACAGCCGTTGTAGTCTCCATCTTAAGTTCCCTACTTACAGGCGTGATGCATGGTAGGCTTTCCCGGGAAAATTTTGATTTAAGAACTCTGTGGTGGGAGTACACCTAAAGGAAACTTCATGTACATGCTCTTCATGGCCTTCAACTATGTTTCGCGTACTAGCTTAGCAATGTTGTCTTGCATTTTCGGAGGGAGAGAAGCGACGACCGGAAAAACGTCTGGTGTTCGCGGGCTAAGTTTGCAGTTGAAGTTGTTTTTGCTTATTATTTTACATATATCTTCAACATTTTTTTAAGGCATGCGCTATTGCATACTGCCCAGTATGGGTAACTACACCCCTAGTGACCCTTACAACCAACACCTAGATTTACAACAAGTCATATTAAGTTTTTCTTTTCATTAGTTTTAATTCCTTTCCTAGGCAATCATAGTCTTACTACACCTTTTAATACTTTTACACATCATCCTCCAAAAAAACTGTTCTGAAGGTGGGTATTGCGTATGCTTTTGACTGTCTTTAAGTTTTAACTTATAATAATTCCTAATAAGGCCTCACTGATTTTAATAAAAATACATGAGATTTCGGGATTTCAAGGCACTGTCACTGCAGTGTAATCCATTTTTCTCATTCTGCCAGTTTCTCATCATGAAACTTAACAATAATAAAAAAATTCCTTTTAACAGACAAAGTGACATCTTCATTAAAAATAATGAGTTAACATCTCACAAGTATCATACTTACGAACAACGCATAAAACCATTTTGATAAACTTAAAAAAAAACCTGTCAGGTTTGAACTTGGAAATTACGTAATGTGTGACAGCTCCTTTAATTTCTACCCCCTTATACTTTAAACAAAAAGGTCCCTACATTGTTTATAACTGTCCAATTGACAATGATTTTGTTAATAATATTAATTCTTATCAGTATTTTCCTATTTTCATTTTTAACATGCAAGACTAAAACATAAAAAAATAACTATCACCTAAATATTACGTTTCACATCAAACACTGTAAACCGTGTACACTAGCTGCTCTGATTGGTTCTACCACGAAAAACATTCCTGACATTTCAAGTGTTCATGGATTTCCAACAAAAAACATACTACTTATAACTACAGAAGCATTTATATAAGTTAGTAAGGCTAGATTCCTGCAGCTACCTTGTTAAAAAATGTGCATGCACTAGTCTTGATGTGTAATTCAAAGAAAATATTCATCTAGGCAAAACGTCTAAGAGGCAGATTGTTGAAGAAACATACTTCTTTGTTTTGAAAAAATTCATCCAGAGGTTATTGACACAGGTACAGAGTGAGGAGATTATTAGTCACAAGTCTGTTAAAAAAGAAATGTACTTTCTGTTAAAAAGGTAACTATAAACCAGAGCATGAAATAATAAACATTATCATTGGATTAAGTTTTTGTGATATCGGGAATAATCAAGGACAAGGTAAGCGTTATCAGCCAAGCTGAAGGCTGGGGCTGATAACATGTACTGAGACCAATATACATTGTTTTGAAGAAAAAACAACAAACATGCCTTGCAAGGAAATCATGCATTGTGCACACAACCTACAGATTAGTCAGTTATCTGCCAGCAGATACATGTAACTAATTAATCTGTAGGTTGCGCTGATTTCCAAAATTATCTGTACACTGTTAGCCAATGAGAAGACAGATAATGCGTACAATGTATAATTATAATAACTATTATTATGCCTAATGCAGGTGCCTATATGCCTTTAGTTAAGTTTTGACATTGATGACCAAAATTAATAGAGTAATTAACCCACAAGAAGGAAGGTTACAAGGTACAACAGAATAGTGTCCATTGCTGGCTTTCAAATTCTGGGGAGTTGGAGTTATGAGTTGGTACAGTCAACTCCTGATAACTCAAGCCTTCAAGGGAAATCGCAAAAAATTAAAGTTTCCAGTTATCAAGAGTTCGGAGCAAATAACCAGGAATAAGGAAGAAAAGATTTTTACTGTAGAGTAAACTTTTTAATCATATTATTTTAGTTGTAGAAATGTCAAGTGAAAATGGAACGATTCCTCTAGAATATGATTCAGAAAATAGTATGGACTGCTAGACACTTGAATGGCTGTATTTATTTTTTGCAATAACAGCCTTAGTTAACACCAAACCTGGGGCTTTTGTGAAGTTTTTTTGTGTTCTTTTGGACCAGGAAAGTCTTGTGTAACTAAATTCCATAATACATGCATGTGTACTCATACCCAGTCCCTCATGGTATGAAAGCCAGCAAAGAAATAAGAGAATTAGCAGAGATGCCAACCTCTGGAGATGTAAAGTCTGGAGACTATCTCTTTTTCACAACCCCACCCCCTGGATTTCGATGGAGGGCCCCCCTTCCGGCCCCTCAAGGACAAATTGACCCAGCCCCAATGGGAATGGCTCAAGACATTACATGAAGTCTTACATGAGATACATACTATCAAACTTCACGACCATCGTTTTGATGCCAAAATAATCATTGTCAGTGACCAAATACTTGTAAAAATGCCCCAGAAACCTTTAACCGTACTACGGATAAGAAAAATTCAAATTTTCAGGAAAAAATGGCGTAAATCTCAAACTAAAGCACAGAAAAGATCAAAAGATGATTAATTTTTAACTGGGAGATTTGATGACCCATACGGAGAGCAAGGATATCAGTGCTGTATCCAGGAGACTCCTGGATAATCCGGGAGAGTTGGCATGTACAAGTTATAGTAGTATCATAGTGGTACTCTTGGAAGGATGTCTGCTAATTAAAATCATTATTACAGGGGTTTAAAAAGTTTTGAGGTAGGCGGCTGAGTCTGGAAAACTAGGCAGCTGTGACATTGAGATTGTTTGTCATGAGCTGATTGTTATAAATGACTAGAGTAGCCAGCAACCTACAATGAAGTAGTTGGTGGAAATCCGGTGGTTGCTGGCTTGTTTTGAAACCCCTGTTATTATCAGTAACTATTGATTTGAAGTGTACTTACCTACAGGTCAAGAGGATCATATCTATTTTGTTGGTTTCTTCTCCCATTTTTAAGTATCACTGTAAAGAAACCCACTATCCTTGAACAGGGTATCTGACTCAGCAGGACCTCGACTGAAAGGAAAGAAAGAGAAACAATAACATCGCAACATAATTGACCAATCAGACCAATAACCAGACTTTAATACCATCAACCAACATGATACAATTCACTTTGACTCTGAAGATGACTAACGCACAGGTTGTTGAAATGTCAGTCACTGTCAACAACAACAGTCCTATTCAGGACGACGGTCACCCGCATGATCATACTCAACCTGCTCATAAAATGACTCCCGGGTTCAAACCTTTCACAGCATTACGAGAGGTACGTGATGGAAAAATTATCTGTTTGATAACTTAGGAAGCTATGTTCACATGAGGTATCCAAGCTTTTGTAGCAGGGTACAGGCACAAATCAGTGTGTTCACACATTACAGGTACCTTGTTTGTCAAGGTGCACACTATTGGTCCATTTAACTCAGAACATCAGATGTCAATCAGCATAATATGGGAGTTACATGAACAGACATGCAAAGCAAGGACGTTTAGGTCAAGAACATAAACATGACACTTTACCTTCCAAATTTATAAGGAATTGGCTTGATCTTTTCCCTTTCAATCTTGTGCAAAAGAGGAGTAAAAATCCTCCAAGCCTCAGCAAGTTCATCACTATGACGACAGCAAAAATGTAAGTGTTACAGTCATGTACATACACAGTACTCAGATTTCAACATAATTTATCCACTCTAGACATACAATGATGTACTGTTAATATGTTATTTTAACCTTCCTTTAAGGTTTTAAGTGGTTATTTTTAAGTTTCTCTAAATTAACGGGCATTTCGTAATTTCCTAATTTGGCTGAATTTTGTGACACAGCTCCTTTAAGCGGGTGTCTGTAGAGTAGGCTCTGACTGTATAAAAACACGTAACAGATTTTTTGTTACATGTATTATTGCAAAAAGTACATGTTTTATGTCATTAAGTGTTTTCAGCGTAACTCTGATTTAACTTAGTTTGATTCTCAATTTCTTTCGTCTCCTAGACCTAGGAGACAAAATAAATTGAGAATCAACCTATGCTACAAAATTCCAAACTGAAATCAACGGTCCCTTAAGCTTTTTTGTAACAGACTGTAGCCAAGATAATAAAATAATTTATGATAACAGTAACAATGATAATAATAATAACTATTATTCTTTCAAAATATTTCCCGATTCTGATTGGCCAAAAGCACATGCATAATTCACCATAACCAGCTGCAGATGACAAAATTTAGAAGAATTTTGCAATTAATGAACCAATGACATCAAAAGCGCAGCTTTCTGCAGGTTAATGCATTGTTAACCAAGAAGACCTGGGGACAAGGTTGAGTCGTTTTGGTATAGTGAAAACAAAAATGGCAGACATTTCAGTCATTCCAAGAGTAAGAACTAGGCAAAATGAAAGCTAAAAACATGGCAAGAACAGCAAGAACACAACTCAAAAGGCGACATTTGCTAATAGGAGAATATTTGTGGAGCTGAACAACCCTAAACGTGCACTATCGAAGACGAACTAGCTATGTTTTTAAACTAGGAATTATTTTGAATGAATAATAAAACAATTATTGTATTCAGCTTTCGTATCATATGAAGAATTATGGAGATCTCGGAGAGTGCTATCATAACACCCTCCTCAATCTCCATAATTCTTCTTAAGGTACTCAGCCTCATTCATTAATTGTTCATTAAATAATAATAATAATAATAATAATAATAATAACTTCATTCAATGAGGTTAAACTCATCAAACTCAGAGACTTAAGAGCGACTTTCTGTAAATACCACGGATAGGTGTGCAAGATGGAAAAATCGAAATCTCCCAAACTTTGTCACAACAAAGCCCTTTGGAAACTATTTTAGAAAATACAAGACTCAGTTCGTTTGACTTAATATTTTCCAAAATAATAATTTTTTTTTAATTTTCACTTTCGAGAGGCCTTCAAACCACCGAAAAATGTGCTTGATACCCTCGCTTCGTGAATGGAAACGGAAACTAATACCATGAATTTTCTTATATTAAACAATTTTTTGATCCTTCCTTTCTACCTAAACGTTGTTACAATTTCAGAAGATTTCAATCTGATTTTTTAATCTTTTTTCAAAATTTCCCTCTAAATCAGCATTATCGCGACCATCAATTTTGCCATTTTTCAACGGCGAAAATCCCTTCCTGGTGCATGGCTTTCATTAGAAAAATCAGGTATTCCAGAGAAAGAGCAATGTTTCCCCTATCAATCTGTGAAATAAAATTCTGGGGCAATTGAAACTGCGATCTTTTAGAACTGAAAACATTTACGGTACTCGCCTGATTAACGACCTCTGAACTTGCAGTTGTCATGATGAATACAAGGGAGAACTTAGACAGCACTTGAAACTCTGGCGCAAATTCGCCCCTTTTCCGCCAGTTTAAACACCAAAAACGATTTTAGATTTCACAGTGGTAAATTTTCAAAAGGAAAAGCAATTTGATTGTGCGAAAGTGTGCTATGAACTTCTTGACCTACGACACCCTTACGTGCGTATTTGTTTACTTTTGCCGTACATATATGTACAAAACGGCTAATAGTGTCGGTCACTATTCTTTCAAATGCTCTCATTTCTCATGAACCAAATCGTTATAGCTATAAAAAAGGAAAACATTTTGACCTACCTCACATTATTTGACAACAGACCTGAATCCTTTACTGCCTTTAGCGAAACGAGATTGCGTGACAAAAAACTTTGAGACTCAGGTTATACCGTGGAGACAGATATCATTCCGAAAAAGAAACTCACGCGGCACCTTCTGTAGCTATAAAAGCGAAACATGTAAAAAAATGGAAATCCTTAGTTTCGTTGAAATCCTTAGTTTCGTAAACATAACACTAAAAAAGTATTTTTTCGTCAAAAGACTATATAGGGGTACGCTCTTATTATACAGTGGAACCGCGATATAAAGAACCTACGAATGATTTTCTTTACCTCGATAATAGTAAAATATACCGTAAAACCCATATTAAAGCCCCCTGTCAAATAAGCCCCCTCCCTCTAATAAGTCCCCCCTTTTCAGGGGAAGAAAGCTAATAAGCCCCCCCTCCCCCCTTCTGTCAAGCACCCGCTTCCCACCCCTAATTATTCTTCACCAATAAATGAAAGACTGTATTAATCAATCACGACCGTAAAACTTCGTGTGGACTGATCCGGGATGGTTTATTTGCCAACTGGAAGTTCCGATTTGATTATGATCCTCGGCTGCATGACCTAAAACTTCCTGTACTTGAGCTTTTCCACTTTGTATGCTAGTTCTTTATGGAGAAGCGATACCATCGTAGTTTCTAAATTAAATATATTAAGCCCCCCGTCTCTATTAAGCCCCTCCCCCTCAAATGAGCTTGAAATAAATAAGCCCCCCCGGGGGGGCTTTATAGAGGATTTACGGTATGAAAAAAAAACCTCGATATAACGAAACCTCGTTATAGCGAGCAAATTTCAGGGGCACTCAACGACTGTTTTCTGTAAAATATATCTTCGGAGAAGTAGATATTGCCTAGAATTTTCTATAGCTTGAGGACGCCTAAAAATTTCGAGATGACCGTTCCGTTCCTGTTCAATTTTCGAAGGTTATCTTATAAATTCCCTACGATTTCTTGAAGTTTAATTTTTCACATTTTACATCCCAGGTTAGGCTAATTTTTCGTAGAAAAGAGGAAACCTAAAATGTTCGGATTCAAACATGTGATTGAGAGAGGAATCAGAAAAATTCTCACTTTTGTGATACGTTAAATTGCATCTAAAATTTTTGGGAAAATAATGCTGAAGCCCTTCTAATTTTACCCTGCTAGCAGAGTCGCTTCGATCTTTCCTAGATAAGTCGGGAAAGAGAAAGGCGCCTTCCTCTTTCCCGACTTATCTAGGAAAGATCGAAGCGACTCTGCTGGCAGGGTATTCTAATTTCGAAAATACTCAATGCAAGTTCCCCTAGGATGACCGAACAGGAACAAATTTTACAAGCCGTTTAGAACGCATTTCTAGGATCCAAAAGTACTCTGGGTACACCATTGAAAAGTGTTTTCAATGAATTTAGAAGGAAACCGTCGTTGGTTGGCTCAGAAATTTTTTAGTCCCTTGGCCCTTCGTTAAATCGAGGTTCCACTGTAGTCTCTTGTTTTTATCACGCTCGTTTTGAAATACGATTATGAATTCCTTACTTGTATTCTTAGGAAAAAGCGCTAAGTCGTAGTCTGAAATGTCGTCCCTTCCCTCCACCCCCTAAGGGGCCGTAGCAGGTTTCAGGGTGGGGCGAAGACACGCATAACATTTCAGACTAGACATGGCGGGGCTAGAAAACCTGCATAACTTTAGAGCACCTCTTGTGTTTAAATTTTCTGTAGTTCTGGCAACCTCGAACAAGTTTTGCATTTCTGAACAACGTTTTGCCAAAATATAGGTTATGGCACATTTCAAGCCAGAAAAAGTGAGCAGTTTGATAGAAAATGTCAAGTACGACTGAACCGCGCCCGTAAAAGCACCCCTAATGACTCCGGCGGGAGGGGGAGGCTGGGTGGGGAGGGGAAACTCTGCAATTGAGCAAAGGGGACCTAGCTCTAAGCATACCGCCTGCTTTTTAGTTGTGCGTTTCCCCTGGCAATAAATTTTGCCCACAGTTTCGAGCAACTCTTTAAAGGAGATTGCAAGCCGGTATATTTGGGCCCGTCAGGAACGCTCGGCAGTGAAACCAAAGATCGCGCCTTCAAAAAACTTATTTTAAGTTACTGAAAGCTGTTTTTTCTTGACCTATTTAACTTATCGTTAGGAATCTCATAATTAGCGTATGTATAAAACTATCAAGAAATCTCAAAATTCTGGATTTTCTGAGAGAACAAATACTTTCGAAAAATTAAGGAGAAAGTCCGTGGACTGGAAATAACTCGCTATCAATTATCCGAAGATATCCGAATATCTCACTTTTCAACCCCACGTTACGATACGCTTCATTTTTGAGGGGAGCCAACATTAGTAGCGCCACTGTTATTTTTTTGCACCTGGGTAACTCATGTTATGTTTACGCGTATCCGCAAGTGTGTCTTACATCCTACGCTTACGTAAAGGTTATATACCTGGAACGATGGCGTACGTGATATATTCACCTGGTACCGCCACGAGGGCTACGTGTGTAAGACTGTTCCTTTTCAGATGTTCAATAGCAATGCAAAAAACAATAGCTTTCAGTTAGTGCGAACGGCCTTTCCTTCTCTTTTTTTCTTTTCCTTTTTCCCTTTTTTTTTTCTAAAAAAACCCGGGTTTTTTTTTTCAAGGTGCAAGGGACGTTATAATTGGTTTCACCGCTCGAGCGTTCCAGACGGACGCAACTATACGGCTTGCAATCTTCTTTAAAGAGTTGCTCAAAAATATAAGCGAAATTTATCTCCAAGGCAGACTCACAGCTAAAGCGCAGACGGTATGCTTAGAGCTAGAGGTGCTTAGAGCTAGGTCCCCTTCGCTCCATTTCAAAATCCCCCCTCCCCCCTCCCCTGCCAGAGTCATTAGGGGCTCTTATACGGGCGCGGTTCAGTCGTACTTGACATTTTCTATCAAACTGCTCACTTTTTTCTGACTTGACATAAGCCTATATTTTTCCCAGACGTTGCT